TTTACCAAAATAGACTGGATTAAGGCAGCATTTTTTGGAGGAACAGAATGGAAACCCTGCAAGTATCTGGCATTAGCATAGGGGCTGTTCATTATAACTAGGAGAGAGCTGGCGTGAACACCTCCTTCTGGGATAGATCATTCCATTACCTCACTGACATTATAGCTGAGAAACATCTCTAGAGAGAATAGTTTGTGCACAGATTTGGCAGGAAGTAACAGAACATTTGTTTCTACCTAATTCAGGTTGAAGTTCATCCTGTACTAGCAGCAACACTTCACCACTATCTTGTGCTTTGGTATGTAGCTGTGTGAAATGAAATGGTGGTGTCCATCTACTTCTCCAGTAGTGCATGCTTGCAATGCAAAGGTTCTTCTATAGAAGACAAGAGAGCACAGCCAGAATTCAATGCAAATTAATTGCACCTAGGAAATCAGCTCAGATGCAGAGATATGACAGGAGCCTTAGCAATGCTCCCTTCTTAAGGAGGGAAATGCAACTGTGGAGGAGGATCTCAAACCTGGCTAATTGTTAAAGAAAAACGAACAACTCAAGTATTTTAAATAATTGCAGACTTAGCCATGTCACTGCCTCAATCCCAAGTAATGCTAATTCACCTGAGTTTCCCTTTAGCTGAGGGGATGCCTCCCAGTACTCTTATCCACACTTCCTCAACTCTCTTTGATCCTTCTCTTTCTAATAGTAACCCATGCTCAAAAGTGACAGAATAAGTTCTAAAGAACACTGTTACAAAGCACCAACCTGGTGTATGGGGGATCAACAGCCACAGTATGGCATCTACTGAAAAAGGGACAGCTGAAAAACAACAGAAGGATTAGTTCTCTGGTTAAGGGTTGACTGCCCATCAAAACTCAGGAGCCCCTTCTCCTTTCCTCCACTACCTCCTCTTCATACACATCTGCAAAGCTTTATGCAGCACCTTCCTCAGGGGCTGCTGCAGCTGCCATGCTCCATTTCCCACATCACTCCTTAAAGATTTGTTCTGCTTCTACAGCACACTGCCCTCTGACACCTGCTTAAGATTTTGCTCCCTTCACACAGCTGATGAAGTTAATCAATTACTTGCTGATGAAGTTAAACCAGCTGACCAGAGAATCCAGGTTTTTTGTTTTTAATAGTAAATAACAAAGAGTTTTGTTCAAAGACTTCAGCTGTAATTTATTTACTTTCCCAGTTCACCCTTGGTTCCTTTATCACAATGAAGGCAGAGATAACATATACCTGTTTTTTCCTGTGTTGCAAGAGTCACACTATGTAACAGCACATGTTGCTTTCACAAACCACCTCGTGATGCTTCCTATTTTCTGTTTCATTGTCTTTTTAAAATTAGGTCAGTTACATCGGTTTTATTATTTTCTATAGACTATTCCAGTCTTTTCATCATACCTCACATGACTTTAATGTGTGCTGCAGTTATCTTTAAGGAGTGCCATTTGCACAGTCACCCTTCACCACCACCAGCCCCAAATTTAGACATAAGGGAGAACTTTTTCTCTCAGAGAGTGGTCAGGCACTGGAATGTCCTGCCCAGAGAGGTGGTGGAGTTGCCATCCCTGGCAGTGTTCAAGAGGCATCTGGACGATGTGCTGTGTGATATGGTTTAATGCTAGTGGTGGCAATGGCGATGAGGAGACAGTTGGACTAGATGATCTTATAGGTCGTTTCCAACCTTGTGATTCTATAATAGCCAAGAATGGACCAAGCTGCACAACCTCTCTCTGATTCATTCTACTCTGTACTCTCGGCTTTATTGAGAGGATTAAACCTGAGCTGCACACTCTATGTTCATACATCATTTGCTGTGCATTGATGTTGTGACCACAAATATTGGCATGCTGTCACAACACAAATATAAGAAGATAAGACTGATTAGACTGAGAAAAAGATCCATCGAGGTCAGTACTCTGTCTCCAACAATGGCCAAAAGCAGATATTTAGGAAAGGAAGGAAACATAGCAGGGCAAGCACACAATGCCTCTCCTAAGGATCTTCTTGGCTTCTATTGCAACTCGGGAACTTCAGCCAGAAGTCTACCAGCCTGGTATTCTTTTCTTAATGAATTCATCCAGCCTTCTCCTGAACTCTTTCCTATGCTTTACCTCATACCACATGTAGACTGAATAATGCTACATGGTAAGTAACATGAATACACAATCAAAATGCCATTCAGAAACATTAGTTCTGGATAGAATCTCATTTTAAGTGTAATATTTATAAACAACATGATTTTTTTTTTTTTTTTTTTTTTTTTTTTTTTAATATGCATAGGGCAAACATCTGAACTAATCAAAACTATTTATTACTGTCCAGATGTAAGTAAACATATTAGCATCATGAAAGTATTTTCCTTCCAAATTTCAGGTTGTGCTTTTAGTCTCTCCTACTCCGATTCTTGTTTCATCAGAACTGTTGTCAGAATAACCCTTATCCATGCTTCCTCCCACTGTCAGAAAACAAGGCAGAAGAAAGTCCAAAAGAACAGCCCAGTTTCCTTGTACTCCCAGATGTCTGGCTGGGTATCTAACACCATGCTCCTCTTTTCTTGGACAGCTGTATCAATTCCCAGCTCTTCTAATTAAATACAGATAAAAATAACACAAATCTCTCCACGTTCCTCACAGTAACATTTAAACTGAAACATTTTCAGTACTCAGTACTTCATTTTCCATGGTGTCTCGGATACCAGTTATCTCTTCAAGCAAGTTGTTACTAAACAAGCATCAACTTCCTTTAATGAGATCTGTTACACTGGAATACTTACATTTGCCCAGACAAAAGGAGGATGCTTGCTGGAATCCATTTTGAACTTTATGCCTAGTTTCTTACACTATAGCATGCATTTTCCTTGACTACTACTTTATACACTATTTCTGTGAGGCCATCCTGAAATGATAATAATGCTCAGGTTATTAACTAGTTATTAGTTTGTTTTCTCCAAATTCTCAATGCGGAATATAAATGCGGTTTCAAAATCCACCTCTGATGTCATGGGCCAGCATAATAAAATAGGAGACATTACTTTTGGAGCAGTGCTTGTATAATTCATCATTTATACAATAAGATCATTAAATGTTGAAGATCAGTATGAACAGCAAGCTAATAGAACAGAAGAATCAAAGGATGGGCTGGGTATGAACAGTTAACCCAGGAGAAGTGGTTAGGAATAGTTGCTAAATGTTCTATTTGTATTTGAAATTCGCCACAGCTGTTAACACAGAATTATACAGACACACACATGGGAAGATGCACCTTATCCAGAAAACGTTGAGTCATGTATAAAAAAACCATTCAAATCCCTGATTTGTAGGAATGGTACTTCAGTAATTTCACCATTACACAGGTTTCTGAGCATGGGGACACTTAGGTTGACTCAGACAACAGCCAGCTAATGCAGGTAAGATGTTCTGTAAGGCAACGCGCAAGTCTCACAGCTGACTGCATAAATACTGCATCAACCACCACGAGATCTTTTCCTTGGTGGACCTTTGCAAGGCTCAGCTCATCATGTCATGGAGATAATGAGAAGTAGTCCACACGTGCAGAATAAGCAAATCATGCAAACAAAAACTAGGCTCTGGAAGTTTCCAGAGCTGTCTTTCCAACTTCACCCATCTACCTTTCAGGTGCTTTGGTAATCATACTTAATTGCTGTGAAAACACTAAGGCTGAAGCTGCAAAGCACTCAGTAGAAAGCTGCTCAGAAAAGGAAGCAACATGATCATTGAGTGAGGCCAAGCAGCTGCAACCCAACAGCACTCAGCAAAGGAGTCTATTAATGCCAAACAGATGGGAAAAGAAGCACTCACTCAGTTTAGCTTCACTTCTACCACAGGGTTAGAAGATCTATTATTATACCAGGCTCTCAAGAACCAGAATATGTAGTAACTAGTTACTGATGTATTACACCTACACAATAAAAACCACCTTAACAGACAACTATGGTTTGTAACATCACCAGCTTGCTTTTTGCATAGTTTAGTAGTAGGCACAGCCTCACGTCAGCCCAACAGTTTTTGCCACTGCTGTACTACTACAAGAGATTGCCTAACCAGAGATAGCTTTTTATTCTTTACAGCTCTTTTAGGAGAACCCACTTTCATTTCTCTTTCATAGCTGGGGACCACAAGATGTCCAAATGCTCTTAAAGAATAAAGCAGCCTGTAGTAGATTCACCCAAGGTTTTGCTGGTTTCACAGTCCAGTAGCAGCACAACAAAGAAGAGAGTAAGTGAAAAAGAAGTCAGAATAAGATAAACTATGGCAGTAAGCAATAACTGCATGCTCTCTGTTTTTCAGGATGACTACAGCAGATTTGAAAAGCTGTGACTTCTTTATACTGACTTTGTTCTCTACATCTTTAGTTTCTCCTGTGCTATCAAGCTGTACAATTAATGAATATACCAATGTTATGGTATAGCAGTGTACAACTAATGAATATACAGATGGTATGGTATAACAGAGAGCTTGGCTACAACGTTGTTACACCAAAGCAGGAAACAGAAATGATAGGTACACTCACCCATATCCTGGGCTCATGTGGAAAACTCCAGGAGAGTGGATCTCCAGAAGAGCTCCTTCCCCACTGGTGATCAGCTCTTAAATGGGTCTGGGAGAGGTGCAGCCAGACTCCCCCCCTTCCGGCAGCACAGGAGAATTGCCTTCACCTGTGCTTCTCTGCCTGACTCAGTGCTCGCCTCAGGTGGTCAATCAGAGGTTCAGGTCGTGATTCAGGTCCCCATACACAAGCCTAGATGCAATACACAACTGCCACATCTTCCCACAAGGGAAATAAAAACAAACAATATCTTTTTCAGGATTGGCAGCTTTGACAACTTAGTGGTGTGCAGGAACCAGAAGCAATCTATGAAAACACAAAGTTTTTACTTTTCGTGTCTTTTATGTGTAGGTCATTGGTAAGGAGCAATGATCTCATCCTAAATAATGTGGGTGAGAACAGAAACAGCCAAGTTGTTGTCAGGGTTATGATAACCTTGAAATATTTTTATTCAGCTGAACAAATCATACAGAACAGACACACTTGAGTTCCAGAACCTGAAAGCATTCAGACAGGATCAGACAAACCTAAACTACAGATGACAACGGGTTTTCTTAAAAAGTCTACGTAAAATACTGAGTTTAACACTTTCATTAGATTTTTAAAAAGTAATTAGATCATATATACACTAAATCTATTTGGAATGGATTGCTGTTATTTACAAATGAAAGCATTTTACACACGGAAACTTGTCTTTGCTCTTAATGAAAGCAGCTTTGACATTTACAGCCTTTTTATATTGTATTGAGAACAGCTTTCAGATAAAACTATTTTCTCCATTTTTATTTACATACATATTTAATTATTTCTGCTGTTTTTCATTTGCAAAGTAAAACCATTATCTAAAAGGAGCAATTAATTCCTGGAAACTTCCATTTCAATAAAAGACATCTGGAGTGCAAATCCACCGTGAGTGAAAGGTATTTAAACATATCAGAACTGTTTAGCAAAATATCTGGACGTATATTTTAGTTAGTTCTGATCTTTGTTAGGCTGCCACCAGCTTGCTCGTGAAAGACTGAAGTATTTTCCATCACCAATCCACAGTCATCTGATTCAGGTTCTAAATTATCCGAGTAGAACGGAGATCAACTTTGCCACCACGTGTACGTTGAGGCTGTTTCCCAGAAGACGGTAGCATTGCTTTATTGATACTTTGTCAGGAAAGCCTAAAATAAAGCACAGCAGAGTCATTTAGTCCAGGGTTCTCCCTGGCTTTCTGGCTATTCCTTTTTCCAATGAGCAGTTCAGAAATGCAGACTTCACATATATTAAAACACACACCCCTACAGTTCACAAATTTATAAATACAATTGTACACTGCACAACTGCTACTCAAGAGAAAATGAAAAGAGTAACGTAGCCACAGGAGAAAGAAAATAAAATGACTCCACAGATACAATAAAATGCATTTCATTACAGGCCTATATATTTTAACTCCAATCTGAGGCCCTCTAACCAGTTATAATTAGTCTCATATTGCAAGATACTACCAGTACAGATCAGGCTATGAGGAAGGTTTATTCAGGGAGAGATCAAGCAGCTGAACAATTTTCCATGTAATTCAATGCCGTCCTTGTGGAATGCACTCAGAAATACAGACACCATCAAAAAGTCCTTCACATTGTAAATGCATTGACTGGCAAGAAGAAAGGACGACCAGAAAATGTTCCAGCTATTGTGAAAGGGCTGTGTTCTGTATTGAATGTGCAATCACAGGTGACCAAGCTTCTGAAAATTAAGAAGTTGCCAACTGGCTGGTCTGCTGTACCCGTCCTTGCTTGCTCTCTCAGCTCACTCCAGCTACAAGCTGAAGTGTATCTGCAAACTGACTGAAAGATGAAAAGCAGTAGTGATTCGACTGTTACGGTCATTTGCCAAGCTGTTGAAACTTCATCACGTTCAATTATTTGCCCGTTCCATAAGAAGAAACATGTAACTTTGACCCTGAGGTCATCACCACCCAGCTCAGCTTTGATGCACGATTGGTGTGAGGAAGGAGTGATACGTATATTCTGCAGTTTTCAGAGCACCTCAGAAAAATCCTTGACCAAGGAGAGCTCAGGAGAGAACATGGCTGGATAGCTGCTGTGCCAAGGGTGGGAAGCTGAGGAGGAGGTGTCTGGGAGGAATTGTTCCATCCTTCTCTGCCAGTTATTAATGCCTTGAATACGGACTGCTTTGGTAAACATGTTTTCTGCCAGCTCTAGCCATTCTGAACAGCTTCTCAGTGCTCAAATTTGAGCACCCCTTCTTTTCCCTTTGGAACAACCATTTGCATTTCCCCACACAGACTTACTAAAATCGTTTTCACACTGTATCATTGAATAAGGTACATAAACTACACACTTCAGAAGAGTATATGAAAATAAATGTGTATTTATGCACACACATGCACATGTAATTAGAGCTCAAGAAGCTTATCTGCATGCTGATAATTTCAGAGTTTCTCCTGCCTTTTGGCAACTGAAAGCCATAATTCATTTTCAGGACTGTTTTCTATATCCCAAACCTCCCTTCAGCTGCCTGTTTACATTATCTTGCATCTTCTGTCTTCTTGGCTCAAGAGTAACTACATCAGGACAGATTTAACAACTCATACCAGAACGCTCGTACTTGTTGCACAGATCTCACCGTATCATTTAGGTCTCGCATGTTACTTCGCAATGCTGAAGTCTTGACAACAAGCACTACCACAGAGTGCTGCTGTCATTCGTTTCTTAATAGCTTACACACATTGCTAAGAGGAAAAATGGAAAAGGCCTCCTGACATCACCCTCATGAAAGCAGGTCACAGGTGCAAGAATGCTCTGATCGCTTTTAATGACACTGCTGTGGGACCCATGATTAAGATAAATGATTGCACATTTTTTCATTGACCTATAGTGCAATTACAACTTATACACTGAGATGTTAAAAGCACAAATAAATCTGTTAACGTTAAGACAAGACAATGACTTTAGCTCTATATCTCATGTACTTGAAAAGACCATAAATCTGAATACAGACGCAATTATGCTGCATTTAGACACGATGATGTTTCTTATAACACTGTTGCTGCAGCTAGCAATATGCTGATATTTGTGACAAAGCTTCCTGACATTCTGTTCATTTTCATTTCAACTCTTGTAGTTCTCTCATTTGTTAATTCATTTATTTAATTCATTTGTTAGTTTATTTATTTATCCATGCAACAACAAGTAGTTGCAGTGGGTACAACTCCAGGCTTTCTGACACTGAAAATTTCAGCCAAATTGTTGTTAAAGAACACAGATGCAGTGAAATTACAGCATATTTTCCTCTGAAAATTCCACACCTCTCCAGAACGATTTCAAATTTAGTATGGAAGAAATGCCATCAGTGACATACCCCTTACTGTAGCCATAAATATAGCAACTTGCAAGTCTTTTCAAGAAAATTTACGGTATGTTAAATCCTCAAAAGAAACTCACAGTAGCTAAATTCACCAGATTCCAATCAACACAGAGCTGAGTAACACTTTTTTTTCGCCCTTAGATGTACAAAGTGGGAAACATCTAGATTAAAACAAAGGAGTGAGATGTCAGACATGTGACTCAGTGCATTGGGAAAACCTTACTGTGCATATGAATCAGGATTACATGACAAAGGAAGCCATTGGATACGGGGCTTGTTCCAAGTGTTATGGAAGCTGGAAAAGTAGTACAGTGAAGAAGGGAACTGCAAGAGCTGTAAAGAAGGTTCCATCTTTAAGGCAGAAGAGTCTAGCACTATAAGAGCTGTGATCTGTCCCTGGCTGCTGTGCATTTCTCTGGCGACAAGACGAGGTTGCCAAGTGAGCACTTCATAGATAGTGACTATCTGGATGCTCCTCAAATTCAGAAGCCTGACTTGTCTTCAGAGTGCAGTTGTGGTTCGCAGAAACATGGAAGGTAACAGCTGCCCCTGAAGATGAGCTCTGAACAGAGAAAGCTTAGCATCATTCCAAGTGCTCTGAAACAATAAATGTCACTCAAACACATGGAGTCATCTAAACAAATCTCTGTGCCTTGGTTCTGCTTCTATTAAATAGAAGCAACATTAACTCTAGTACACCTCTCAGTGGTATTGCAAAGACTGATCCAATGTTTGGAAAACGCAGGCTGTTATAACAAGCAGTGTATTTAAAAACAGAGAAAATGGATAATTCTGTGTTCAAAACGGAACTTAAACATTATTATAAGCCTATACATGACCAATCCAGGCACATTTAGCTCAAGTGTCTTTACAACAATGAAAGTCCATATGGAACTGAGAGATGCTAAGAAAAATGACATCTTCAAAAAAGACAAATCTATTAAAGAAGGGAGGCTATGAAATACTCCTGCATATTGACATATAACTCAACATGGCACACTCATGAAAAAAGTACAGAACAAGTAAGCTTAGTGGTGTCAACTCTAATGCAAACTCGATAATGTTCTTTTAAAGTAATTTTTCAAATGTAATTGCAAGGAATAAATACAAAAAAACCCTAAAGATATGAAAGAAAAAACTATATGCAAACTAGCAGCACTCCTTGAAGCCGCTTAGAAAGTTGAAATATATTACAAGTTAGTCAAGGTCACTGGTGTCCTGCAAGTCTATATTGCTGAGAGACAATACATTGATCTGATGTAATGGCAGCAGACCAAGTTCCTTGGCAGACAGTAACAGCTCAATTTCTTTGTCTTTCTTTGCTGAAGAGCAAGGAAAACTCTGGTGCATTTATTGCTGGCTTAATTCCAGTTGACTTGTGTGCAACATACTGGTATTGCCCAGTCTTGCTACTTGACTCCCTTGTCTCCACCAAAACAGAAAACAAAGTAACTGACCAAGGGCTAGGACTGCCTTTTCCAGAAATTAGAGAGGACTTTGAAAATCATTACTTGAAGAGATTTGTTACTCTTGAGCAAAGAAGCATTCGTATACTGTGAAGTTATTCCCTTTCTGTTACCAGCTGCAAACGTATGGAAGGGAGCAAGCAGTTCAAATAGTGAGAACTAAGACATCCTAAGCTGGCAGGATATGTTGACCTACCGATTATGGGTAATGCTGGCCGCTGAGTAAATAGTTTCAACTGTAAAACAAAGATATTCCTTCACTGTCATTCAGTAATACAGCACTCCTCATGACAAAAGGGAATTTAGAGAAAAGTAGTCAATTAGTAAGAACCGATCCGAAAAGCTGAATGGTCAGAAAAAAACTTAAAAAATAAAATGCACACATTACTCCCAACAAAAAACTACATTGGTATGACTTAAGAATGAAGTAGAAGTGGGTACTTTGTGAGCACTTACCAAATTCTGGAGGGAATCCATGCAGATTTGCTATTTCTCTTGGAGTAAAATACCTCAGTTTTAGCGTTGACAGTTTCATAAGCTTCTCTTCTTCTGTTAAGCTCTCAATGTGCTTAAACACTGATTCAAGCTAAAAAGAATATCCAAAACAACAGGTTACTGACATAGGCAGAACATGAAATTACGCTGTAACACTCACATCATAACAGAGCATTTCTTTGATTATCACAGTGCCAAAGTCAATTTGAAAGCATGTTAAATGTCCTATTTTCCAGCCAATATCTTAATATGAGCACTGACAAGAACAAAATCAACGTTGCCATGAAGGAATTCATCCCTTCTTCCCCAGGTTTACAAGCCATACCAATACTTAATGAGGCAATCAAAGGGCTACAAACATTTGTTAATGACCAAATATTGACTTAGCATAGCTCAGAAATATCATACATGTATGCAAGTTAAGTAGTACAGATACAGCTCAACTGCTTTAATCCATTTGTTTTGGCATTATTCTGAATTCCAAACTGAATTCCTCTTATGCGTAGAAATACCTTACAATATTAGTGAGCGGCACAGAAGTGCAGGAGGAAATGTTTGTCTGTATCCCCATGACAAAGTACCACTTTGTGGTGAACTCAGTATCTACAGCTGAACTTTTCAAAATGTTATGTCTTTCCAGATAATAATTTTGACATTCAAAGATTTTAATATTAAACATTTGACAATGCTTACCAGCTCATGTACACAAAAAAGTCCCTAGAATCACAACTTGGCACTGTAATTTGTCAATAGAATTAGTCAATTTTAATGTTTTCACACTGAAACGTTTTCCCTGCGGAATCTCTACGTGACACTACAAATAATAAAATACCAACTCATTCTCCACGAAGAGAGGCACAGGTATATCTTGATACAAATAAATTGCTGTTTGGAAACTCTAAGTACAGCAGATAGAAACTTGGTTTCTTCAAAAGCATTTTTGCTGTGATATTCAGAATAACAAAGCAGAAGACAGACAAAACAAGCTTTAAGACAAGTATTTCTCACACTTACCTGCACATCTACTGCTGTCTGCAGAACGGAGCCTGTCCCTTCTACATAGTGCCCATACCTTAACAAAAACAATCTTAAATGAGTATTTTCATTGGACCTTGGTACTAACAATCACAATGATGCAAGATGAACTTCATTTGCTGTAATTAACAAACAGCCTTCTGGACTGATTAAAGAAAAGGCCTTGTTATCAACAATGCTAACTTTGAAATGCAGTAGCCTCTGAAGATAACCTCTGGGGATGAGTCTGCAATCAATGCACAAGGGTTTAACCACGCTAATGCCTTATATAAGGAAAGTAACTCAAGCACAGCATAATCAGAAAGGCCCATCTACATTGCAAACATTGATTTTACACTAAGGCAAAATATGTCAAAGGCCAAACGCTCCTAGGGTTCTAATTGGCCGACCATATTAAAAACAGGACCATTACGCGTGATCCTGCAGCTTTCAATCAATCCATTAGGAACAAAGTAGTTCAGTCAGATTTAACTTTTGCTTGCTTGCAAATTTTCCACAAAGGGAAGGGATGGGGGATGGGCTTCTCTGCAGAGAAGCAGAAGAAAGAAAGAAAGAAATGAAAAACAGCATCCAACTAAACAGTCAGTACGCTTATGCTATAAAAACATATGACAGCTTTTTTGGACGCTTTGTGGTTGACTGCATAACAATATGTTTACTCTGTACTCTCTTCCAGGCTATCATTTAAATATAATCATGGGCTTTCAGAAACAAGCTCTGATGGTCTAACAATGATAGCAAATGAATGTACTGAACAGAAAGAGACTGAATCAAGTCATCAGTGGCTTTTGCAAAGTAGAAGAACTTGGAAGATCCTTGCATCAGACACGAGTGGTCTGCATCAACCATCAATATATACTATCCTCAGGTTTTCTCTGTGTAACTGTGAAGACCGCTGTGTTTTAAGCCTAATTCCACAATGAATAAAGGAGTGGTCTGCCTTCATCAAAGACATAATGACTCAATATGACTCAAATCTTGAGAATTTCTTCATCTGGAAATGCTTATGAGTAGTTCTACCAGTATCAGTGAAACCAACAGCAATTTTTAAAATAAAGTACATGCAAATCTTAACTCAGATCAGGACAAGGTGACCTAAACACTAACACCACATGAAATTGAATTGTAAACATATAACACTTAATTGGTTAGCAGCACTCTGAAAATTCCCTGATGCCACATTTAATAAGGTAAAACAAATAGCCCTGAGGAATCCTCATCTTACACAGTATCTAATACTGTTTGATCTTACTTTGGCTGAACGTATCTGAGAAAAAATAAATAAACGACATAAATTTCAAAGTGGTAGTTCAGAGTTTTATGGGGAAAATAGGATTTTTTAAATGCGATACATATTATCTAATACACCCTAATCTAAATAACTGTGACTAAAGAACTCACAAAAAAAAAAAAAAAATCCAGTTGGTATAGCCAACTAAATCTATATATATCTAATATCTATAAATGAAGATTGTTCTACCTTTCCTTTTTTAAAATGTGGACAGATAGGCAATGTTAGCTTGAATGTCATTGATTATTACTGCAGTTGCTGACTACAGAAAAATTAATACGCCTCAGAACATAATTAAAAATGGGAAATCTTGCCACAGTGAAAAATGATGCATTGATTTTTGGATATTTCATTAGCAGTTACAATGAAAGAAGCAGATGGCTTAAGAAATTGCAGTCCTAAATTTTCACCTGACTCACAATTGTTTTCTTACACCCCATCTTTATTTTCTAAGCACTATAAAAAGCTCAGTTTCAAACATTAATATGTTATTTCCCAGTACACTCTGTCATTAGAGAGAATTTCTGTAACTAATACTGCACTGTCTCTGAAGGCTGTTCTTGTCTCCATAGCAAGAATTTATGAGTCCAGAATAATTTGAATCAAATAAATAGCTTTCATTTACTCTGCCCTTCAAAACGGTAATTTTCCTCTTTCACAACTTCAGACCTCACTAATACGTTTCTTAGAGAAACCAATGGCATTCGCACACTGAAGAAACTCAGCAATCATCTTCAAATTGTCTCGGAGCCTAAGCTGGAAGGTCCTGCTCCATCTCTCAAACACCACACCTATATTTTGCCCTAAACCCCACCAGAGCTTTTTGACCCCAAAGAAGTCAAAGTGTACGACAAAGGCAGACAGGCAGACAAAAGCACTGATGTAATGTGTTCAAGGTCTCTGAATTAGCAATGAGTGAAGGAGTCATATCCAGATTATCTTCAGCACATGAATCCTGCCGGAGCTATCTAAGGACGGGTCAGAACTAGGGGAAAATGTTGGCGATCAGTGTGACTGGTAAGGAAGACACCATAAAAGTACCACAGCAAAGAGATTCTCTCTACTGCTCTGAGTACTGTTCTGCTTCATTCAGGGTCCTCTTTCCCAAATCTGACATTTCAGAGCACTCCTAGACTTCTTACAGCAGTGATGTACTCTAAGCCTCAGAAAGAGCTCTGGATGAAGACTGAAACGTAATTATAACAATTGTCTTAGTGCTGAGCTGTACATGTTATCCGATATGGTTCTCCATGTGGTCATATCTTCCCTTTCCAATTCTTTGTTCCAAAGCCAGCAAATCATGAGCCAAGAACTACAACTATCCGGCCTGACTCCTCCCATGTCATTAAAAAGGCAACAAATACAAATGGAAGAGGGCCTACCTTTTTTATTTGACAACTTTAGTTATGAAACATCTCCCACAATGCTGACTTCCCCATGACACAAAACAGTGAGGGCAGAAAAGACATATACCAATGAGAGATGGAGGAAAGGCTTTCCTGTCGCATGAATTTTGAAATTCTTCTCAGCTTTGTTATTAGCAAAAAGCTGAAATCACAAAATCTGCAGGAATTCAGTTCATCTGACATTCTGATTTCTTCTACTAACAATTAAAAAAACTTGCTATAATTAGCTTTAATTCATTAATTGATCATCATTCTGTTGAAACATCTTGAGAACTCAAACACAAACCTCCAGGCTCTAACTGGCACTTTCCAGTACCAATGCATTCAGTGGAGAAGCTCCTGACAGGTTGCCTGTGGTATTTCAAAACACTCAACAACATCTGCCATTCAAACATAAAATTCCAAAGCATGAATCAGAAAACTACTAGACAGAAAAGCACTGGTGTTCTGCTCCATCAAATATGATTTGTAATGCTGCAACCTAACTGGTTTTATGATATATGGCCAATTCACAGCTATTTTGACCTACACAGCTGAAACACCCAGGAAATCAATAAAACGTACAGTGGAGACAGTTTTAATGAGGAATGGATCTGTCATGCATGACACTTTGTAACAGCAGTGAGCAATATACAGAAATTCATTAATGAATCAGTACTATACCAGTCTACTGGAACCATATTTCCGCAGGGGTAATTAAGCTTCTGTGAAGGTCAATAACAAATGGCAGTGTCTTTTGTGAATGCATTTTTGGAGTGGGCACATGATGTTCTGCCAGACAGCCTCATGCTGGCATTCCATTCAATTAGGAAACATGCTATATAAGGAGATTTTTCTATTTTTTTTTTTTTTTTCCTCAGATGCCTGTCTTTTTTTCGTGAAGAAATAGCTCTTTTTTTTTTTTCTTCAATTTTTTAGTACACAAATGAAAGCACAATATACACTCTAAGTTTCAGGACATGATTCAGCAATACACTTTATTTGCAACTTACCCTTTTGTAAAGCATGTGGATCTCCGGCAAGTGGGTTTAACAATGTCTAATAAGAAAGCGTAGCGTAGCAAGGACTTGGGTGCTAAAAAATACTGACTCATTTCTTCATTCTCATCTTCCAGGAAATCTTGTAACATTTGAATAGAGGGATCATTGTCTTGACTATGCTTCCTTACCATTTCTTCTACTGTTTCAAGCTTAAAAAGAAAGGACTCTTTTGGCAAGGGTCCATTCTTGCTGCTGCAATCAGAACCAGTGTTTGAAAGTAGACTCTTCTCTCCAGAAGGCAAGGAAGAACTAGCTTCGTCAACAACTTCATCCTTGGATAACTCTTCTAGATTCTGATCTGGGAATCTTGTCAATATCTAAGAAATAAAATTGTGAGAAAGATTAAGTAACTGCATTTGATAAACAACTTGACAGCAGAAACTGTAGCGATTAAGAATTACTTCAGAGGTGCAAATAACCATTCGGTGCTATTTTTACAAAGATTAAAAAAGAAGTAAGTTACCATTGAGATCAGTTGACCTAACAGCAATGATGATGGAAAGAACTGCACATAGTTGCCTTTACTAAAAGACATTTCCGCCTCAATTGCTTAAAGCCAACTAAACCATTGATATGCATTTCAGTCTTTAGAAGACACAGCATTGAGGCCAAACAAAAAGAGACAGATTTCAACTTATCTGTTGATATCTCTTATCTAATCCATTCCTGTCCACACTACTAAACTGAAAATTTAAACTACAATCTTCATTAAATCAAGAAAATTGAAGAACAGAAATTAGACTCACCTGACCAGGAACATGAAAGAAAAACGGCTCGTGGTGAAGCTTTGCAATTAGAAAATACCGCAGCCTAGAATTGGGAATGCCAAGCTGCAAGCAAAAATCCACAAGCTTTTAGTCCATGTGACAAATGGAGAAGACAATAGCAGTGTAAAAGTTACCTATTATTATTTACAGTAATAAGATTATTTCACACTAATGCATTTTGCCACTTAAGAGATATCAAAATTAATTGATAGTACCTAAATACTCCTAATGAACCACGAACATAATTCCCATGCAAAGGTAACCTCAAAGAAACAAGAAGGTATTTTTTTTCTCATGATTCTGCTTTTCTCTGTAAATGAACAGGAACATAAGCAAATTGTTATCTGAGGAAAGAAGAAAGATGAGGCACGCCACTGTTTCCTGGGATGAGTACTGCTTGTTTTTTTTATAAACCAGGAAAAAGGTTTCTCCTTTTGTTACAAGGAACTACAGGACATCCAACAATGAAACAAATGTACGACTGGCTTTCAGGTTACTGTTTTGTCAAATACATATGGTACCTCACTGATCCCATTTAGTCTCGCACAATCTGGCGCCTCTCTTAATTCTTTTCCAGTTGTCAAGGAAACATACAAACAGTGGCCCTGCCCCCACAAATGACAGTCATGTTTTCTGTGCATCAGCAGCTCTGAAACAATAAAGTTCCTGCAGGGAAGCACTTGGTCATGGTTTATGTTCACACCTACTTTAAAAAAATGGCATGGGGAAAGGTAGCAGACAAACATTTCCTCCTGTACTTCTGTGCCACTCACTAATATTGTAAGGTATTTCTACGCATAAGAGGAATTCAGTTTGGAATTCAGAATAATGCCAAAACAAATGGATTAAAGCAGTTGAGCTGTATCTGTACTACTTAACTTGCATACATGTATGATATTTCTGAGCTATGCTAAGTCAATATTTGGTCATTAACAAAAAATGCATGACTAGGATCACAATAATAACATCAGTAAGATTATGCCAATGTACCAATGAGAAATCTGTCATATCAGATTGCTCTCATTCAGAAGCTCTGGGCACCACCCCCTTTTCTGATAAACACATCATTTTCAGATGTCCTTGGACTCAGTGTTTGAACAGTTAAATAATTTTGGATTAAATTAATACTCACACAGGTTGGAGACAAAAGAAATTCTTGATATTTAAATCCACATGTTTCTAGTGTTCGCAGAAGTTCATTTCTGACAGTGAGAAGAATCAAGAAGCAATTATGCCCTTCATAAGACCTTACATATCCTTTAAGTTTTTCTTATCCTAAGTGAAAACACATCAAATGTAGTACCTTAGGTACTGAGATTTCACATTCAGTGAAAGAATCAGACAGAGAATTACACATGTAAAGTAACCCATTTCTGAACTCACAGACAACATACAAAATGCAGTGTTACAGGAGCTAAAAATGACCACTACGAATTCACAAGTACCTAACACCTATGGGGGTGCAAACAGCCCTTCAAAAATATTCCATCTCTAGAAGTGCATATCTCTGGGTGAGTGTGTCAGCAAGGAAAATAAGAAGAGAGCATAACTTCCTCTTCATTGTGAATTATAAAACTTGACACTGAAATCGATACAAATGGCTCACTGTTTCCCTCTCTTCATGCACATGATATCAGCTAAGCTTAATAAAACATTTAATAAAGCTTATTATAAAATTTATATTATAAGATTAATAAAAAATTAAGCAAAAAATGCGTGGATTTGACAATAAAAGCAAGCATGGACTGTGCTCTGCAAGCATAAAAAAAAAAAAAAATCACTGATATTGGAGTTTTCCTGTAAAGATTTGCCTTTCCTATTCCATGCAGGCTGTATATATGCAGGCTATATATAACTCACAAACTGTGACCCTATATCTGGCACTGTATGGTACTGCAGCCCAAGAGAAAGCAACCATTCTGACCAGAGTGTTTTCTGAGTTACAAACTGTTGCAAACAATGGCCAGCAAGGAGCAGCCTTAGGAACCTCAGGCTCTCCAGGAGCAGTCCAAATCTCCAATAGGACTGCTGCATGCTTTAATCAGTGAAAAAGATGAAAATGTCTCCCAGCTGCCTGCCACATGCATGAAGAAGCATGAAGAAGCTAGCTGCTCTCCTGCTGATTTAAGAAATGCAAGGGAAAGATCCTACTTGATTTCCAGCAAGAAATGAGGAAAGATGACTAAATCCCTGTCTCTCCACAAGTGAGGAAAATGGTCCTGCTGTTATTAAGTAACCCTATCACCAACTTTCCTCTTTCATATTTCAGACAAAAGTCACATGCAGATTTCATACTCTCTTTATGAACTGTTTTATAGCAACAGTGAATCAGTAACAACATACTATCAATAAAAGCACTGAAGAAAGCTACTGCATTCTATTGTGATCTCAGCACAAGGCACCAAAAGCTCCTGTCATCGGTAAAATCCAAAACCTCTCCTTGAAAAATAATATTGTTCCTTTGTGAAGGACACCAAGTCATCAAAGAAAAACAGCAGAGTCAAGTTCTAGTCTGTTTTATATGCTTAGAGAAATAGTTATTTATTAGGTTCCTTTCACAAGACTTTAATTCCCAAATTAAAACAGTATCTTTTACCTACAGCTGCTAACTGTGCCATCTCACTCTTCTCTTAAATTCTAGGAAATAAAAATCCTGCCTTCTTTATTAAAAAATAAACCATGTATAAGTTAGACTTTACCTTGCAGAAGAGGATTCAAATCCTTTAACGTTTTCTAAAAGTAGGTATTTTGGAAGCTTCTGGAGCCTAAAAGAAAGATGAAAATATCAATAGATCACAGTTGTAGGAAGTGAACTACATTATATTTATCTACATACTTGTTTAGCTACAAGATCAAAGTATTTCTGTACCATGCTAGTCCATAAAAAGATGTACCTCAATGTCGCAGATCGAGTAATTCCCATTGTTGGTAATTCCAAACAACAACAAAAGCCACATTTGTTCAGATGGGCTGCTGTACCCATCTGTATCCCACACATGATCTTTTGAAAACATATAGCGCTGTTCATTTCCTAAGGCATTGACTTATTGCTACTCAAAGATTAAGCTTGTAATAGAAAAGAAAATTATAGGGAATGAAAAATACTACAATTTACCCATGGAATAGAGCACTTTATTTATTTAAGTATTTAAATCTGAAATCAATGTTAAAATACAGTATCTACATTAGTGGCAAAACATCAAAGTCAGTATTCATTAAATTGCTTTAAAAAATACTACATTTAGAGTTCAAACTCCATATACTTTCAATTGTCTGTACTCAATTTTTTTCATTTCCATGAGGAGGGAAGGAGAAGTAGCTGAGGTTAAACAACATCAGTGCAGAGGTCTGGAAATTCCAAAACCAGCTTATTAAATCTCTGGAGAAAGAACCATACCGAAACTGTGCCAGGGACCATTTTAACAATTTAAAACCATGAACGATTCAGATTCAAGTGACAAGGAACATGCATTGGAACCAATACTCCAGTAAGACCATCACAGATACACAACGTCTACCATATCTAAGATCTCAGAACAGTGTACAGGAAGAGAACATTAATGCCAACAGACAGTAAATCCAGGTTTATTTAAGTCAGGAAGTGATTTCAGACTGTACTGATGTAAATCACAGCAGAATTTGTTTTGGCAATTTGCAAACTATCATCAGTTACAGAAATTCGCATGAATAATTCCAGTGTTTGACAAGAAATTTGAAAATGTACAAATACTACAGCAAATACGAAAATACTGAAAATAACACTGAAGTGGAAAAAAAAAAGCATCAGCCAACCCCCCTGGGCAGGAATGGAGAACGTATCTGTTGGTATGTTTACCCATACTCAACATCACCATCACCTACTGTGAAGCTTATTTTTGGAGTAATGAATCCACAGCAGAGCTTGAAGTGCAAAAGCTCACACAGGATCAACATGTCACAAGGCAAATAATCACTATACAAAGAGTATGTGTTAAATACTTGGCAGGTTTTAACATCACTAACTTCTCTGCAAAATTAACAAACATTGAAGCCTTAGTATTAGATTTCCCTGGGTTATGGTTTGGATACAATAAACCGAAAGTATCTGGCCCGTTTGGGCCAGCTTTTGAGTTCACTGGCTGAGGGCTGGAAAGGTTTCCCAGGTGTTTCCAGATCTTGAAATTGCCTTTTCTGTGCCTTTAATATTTGCCTCCCCAGCCTATCTTTGAGCTCTGTTTCAGCTACATTTTGTTATAAAAGGCAGAACATAAGGTAGGAACAGCCAAGGAATGAAAATTTTTTCAGCAGTTTCCACAAATTAAATGCATGCTATATCAATTTTGAATACGAACTGATAGTTCCTATATTAAGAATTTCCCTTTTTAGGGCTGAAATACTCCCTGCATAACGTCTGGCAAACACGTCTTCTTCAAAACATACACAAACACTATCTCAGTAAAACATAAATCTAATGGATCCAAGAAACTAAGCAGAAGTTACCATCTTGAACACATTACAGACGTCTTACAGTAACTACTGCCCTAGAAACAACCTGTGTAAAGGTGATAAGGGAAGTCAGCAGCGTCTCACAGGCTGCTGAGATAAAAGTGCCACAGCCAAGCCCAGCTCTGCATCACCATGACAAAAAACATGTCCTGTAGTGTCTAAAGCATTGGTTTTGGGAAGGAAAAGTCTCTGCCCTTTATCCAGTTAAACTCACAGCAACCAGGAAGAGACACTTCCATGCCAATGCACAGCAGTGTGACAACAGCAGCCCTACTCTTAACTGCATCTCAGTTTAATGACAAGGAACAGATAGGTCAGGATTTCCTCAAGGATAAGGAAGGTACTATAATTTTGACAAACATATACTACCTGATGTTTTTAGTTTGACATTTTGAAAGATCAGTCATGAGGAGAACTGACTTTCTTTCTTCTTCAAAAAACACATCTTCCACCATTTTCTGAAATTTACAATATTTCCTTTTTTTTTTTTTTTTTTTTTTTCCCCTCTACTAGATGTGGAGGAGAAATAACATTCTTCCTTTTTACCTATTTTTACCTATTATTTAGCTAACTTACTGGGCTACAGAACTTAGTGAAATGGTTGTTCTGTGTTCTCTGTCACAAATTCAACAAGCGATCCCAGTCAAGCCACTCAGCCTTTCTGTGCCTATGTCCTCCACCTGCTGATGACAAGGGCAAAACAAGGGCAAAATTCTTCTGGAAGAAGAATGAAGGAACTTACCCCAGTGCTAATAGTAAATTGAAAGAAAAGAATACAGGAGTATGGTGGTGGGAAGAGAAAGACAGACAGACCTCTTTCCCTCCTCCTCCTCTTCTGGAAGTAAGATTAGCCAACAGAAGAATACAATGAACAGCTGTCCTTATTTATGATGAGTAAGTGTCTGGTGGATCATAACTCGTGCAAATTTTCAGGCTGATGCCTAATACACATCTCAATCCATAGGCAGAGATTTCTGCAAAATAAATCCCTCTGAATAACTCCTTGCTTGCTCCATTCACCTACAAAGATGCTTAAAATGCTATGCATCTCTTCCCAGAAAAGACTACAAACATTACTTGGAGCTGATTTTTAAAACTCTTAATAAGAACAATTTATGTCAGCAATAAACACTTTGAATTTACTGTTCAAATTTAATATATGAATAACACAAACAATTAAGGCTATTTTATTAGGAACCAGAGTCGTGCCAGACAAAAAGAATAGATTAAGACAAAAAAAGAGCACTGTTCAGACAGATTAATCCTATTTGAAACTTTTAGTGTTACCACTCAAAACAAAATTACAAATCAAAAAACACAGTCTGCTATAATATAGCTCGAAGTAGCATCAGAAAGACAGAACAGACACTTTAAGAAAGAGTGGAATGGGAAAGAGGACATACTGTATTGTGCAGCTGATATCATGCTTTAATGAAGTTTTCAAAAGGTTACTTAATGATATTGGTAAAATATAAATTATTTTTGATCATATGGAAACAAATAAATAATACAATAAAATATTAGCAGTATCCCTGCAGAACATTACAGATTACTTACAACATAAAATAACTACTTAGTAACACCAAGGGCTTAAGAGTTGAGGTGGAAGTTAACTTGTACCTTGGGAGAATATCAAGAATATAAAGAAAGCTCTTTGTCCTCGGATCAGATACATCACCTTGTAGGCCAATTCTACAAAATAATAAGGAAACAACTGCATTTTACTTGGAGCACACTGTTATTCCACTTACATTTTTCTACAGAAAGCTGGCACTTTTTACTTCAAGTTTTGAAAAGAGATTCTGCAAAATCATCGTGTCCAGGCATGAGGCAGTATCCTCTGCAATGCCATCAGGAATGAGTGTGACCTGAAATCCATTACAAGGCTAACACTGAAGCATTCAATAATGAAACTCACACCCCAGTGTGCACAGCATTAGTATTATGGTCTTAGTAAAAAAAACTCCTGAAGGAACAACAACAGCAGCAACACAAAAGAGCAGCATTTGGGCATAGCCAATTACTTTATACCAAATATATTAAATTATCCAGACAAGTTAAGGTTACAGTGCTCACCATTTTGCAGGATTGAGCCTGATGTGGATAACTTTTTAACTAATTTAGAGCTATTGAACTGGATGGCTCATTTACCTTACAGTAAGGAGATTAATTGGATAATGAATCCAGGCCTTGGCTTCCATAACTTGTACTAGTTGTTTAAGTCTTGGTAGAAGAATTTAGCATGTCTCTAGATTAATTAGTCATACACAGTCCATTCTTTTCATTACATTACAAAAGAAAATGTTGTATTTATAGCAAAGAGAACTGTATTTGCTTACTACAATTATGTAACTATATTATAGTTGAGAGAACCTCTCCTCCAGCAACCACTGCTGTCAAACTAGTTGCATGTGAAATAAATCTGACAAGCTCCTAGCAATTTCAGTTCCTAAACAATGAAGATATTTCTCTGTGTCATCCATAAAATCATTTCAAAGCCAACACATTTTGAAAACATAACTTGTGTCTATGTGCAATTATTGATACACTTCTCTTGGCCAAAATGGAACATTCCTCAGAATAAACTGCATGCATATGTAATTTTCAAAGGACTTGCAAAGTTCTTATTAAAGAACAGATTCCAATCTTAATCACCCGCAGAAGGGAGAAATTCCAGTTCTCCCTCTGGAGCAACCCCACTGAAAAATTAGACTTCTAATTAAAGGGAAAGGAAGCAGTTCTAAATGCAGACTTATTGATTCCACTGTCAGAAAAACAGTATTGTGTGCAGAACAGGTGCTTTAGGCAGTCCAATCAATTTTAACTGAATAAAAAGGACATACAAAGTATAATCAATAATTAAAATTCAAATTCCTGCATTTCTTCCAGTTCAGTAGAACCTTGTGGTGAACACAGCCACAGAATGGTTGCTTAGGAAGATAAAGCTACACAGATGGGCCAAACACCATAACATGCATGAAAACATTTATTCGCCCTTTACTCAAAGGCCGCTGTATCTACCTTGTAAATGGCTGGCAGGGAGGACTCATCAAAATCATATCAAAAGATAATCTGTCAAATTCTTTCAGTGTAATGCCCTGAATAAGGGAAAAAGAAATATAAGAATGTTCAGTGCTGAGAACTGTACAAAACTATTAAACCAACCTTCAGACAAAACTACCCCATTACACTCACTGTTTGTTCTATCTAGTAAAAAGCTCCCTGACCTCCCACTTAACCTAATAATTCCATTCTTTTCCACCTCAGCAAACCACACAGAGCAAATACGCATTAACAGCCTTGAAAATGAACCCAAGGCACCAATGATACCAGCATCTATACATAACACTTTTTTTATTTAATCACTCTTTTAGAAGAGATGAACTAGTTCATGATTCTTTCAGTAGATCCTGATTAAAAGGAGTTGAAAAAAAATGTTTGCTTAATGACAGTTTTTGAGATATGACAAATGCTTAGATTATAATCCATCATGCATACAACACAAAAAGCTGTATGTGGCATAGCTTTCAGTTAATCTTAGACAGATGTGTTTTAACTCTCAGGAGCTCATTACCAACGCGTCCTATGAAATTTACTTCATTCTAGTTTTTGCTGAGTAAAAATCCCTGAGAGCTGTTTCATGGCTGAAAGCAATAGTCTGCAAAAGCATTTCTGTTCAAAGAGAAAAGACTGTGGCACAAACTAATCGCTTGGGCGTTAGTTCTCCTATATTAAATTCTAACAGTAGGTCAGTATATTAAGGGGCCAAGAGGAGAGAAGGATCCATCAAATAACTATAAATGAGACAATGAAATCATTGCTTTACATATTTTGCAGCATATCTACAATGTGTAACATAACTGCCCACAGAAACTGGACAAAATTTCCTCTGTTTTTCAGTAAATTTAAGGAAGTTCTTACTGACTGTAATCTGCTCTTCCCTATAACAGGAAGATACAGGCAATCTTTCCACTTCTTTTCCCATATAAAACTGTAAACTATTATTAGTCTGCTATTACTGAGTGCTGAATAAGCAGCTAACCTTTAGTCAACTTATTTAAGCTGATATCTTAAAACAAATTCATTACCTTACTGTCATGTTGTAAAACTGCAAAAGAAGATTAAAAAGCATGCAGTAACTTCTGCAGGTAAAATCCCATATCTAGTTTGCCCCTCTGTTAATCTGAGACATCTGTACCTATTTCTTCCCTAATAATTTGGTAAAGAGACAGAATTCCTAAAGCATTTGACCTACTGAGGCCACAAAGAAAATACAAGGCATCTAGTATATTTTCCTGTGTTTTACTCATATCAACTATAATTACAAAGCAAAGGCATGATTCCAACAGATTTAATGAAATTCTCTCGAAACACTTAAAAATATTTTTTTTAATCTAGAAATGTGATTTTTGTCATTCCTTTAGAGCTGGTAAGCATTCCACATGACACTCACATAACCTTCCTCAATGCAGCAATCAAGACTTCCAGGAAAAGATCTCATTGTAAGTATCCATCTGCTTCAACAAGCAAATACAGCACATTAAATGACAGTTACTGTAAAACTGCTGTTCCCCTAACATCAATAATTAAGTCTGTCTGTTTCTCTTTGGTACCGATATGGATAGGAAGTCAATCAACTCCTAGAAATGCCAGGCTAGAATAAAAAAAGTCATTACCTCAATTGTCTTTGCCCATAATGGTGTGCTGGGAAAGTTGTGCTTATAAACTTCATTGGCAAGAGTGTTCACATCCACAGCAGCAACAACTTCTGCACATACACAGCTTTCTAAAATTAAAATAAAGTTGAAAATCATAGATTGAATTTTTTACTCTCGAAATTTAATTTTGTTCAGTTGTATTACAGCTATGCTCAGAAATAAAAGAGAAATGACAAAATCAAATTCTGCTGTGTTGCCTTTAAAACTTTATATGAAATACAGACTGTTATTAATCGCAGGCCAGAACTTCCCTCTCTTATATATCCAAAAAGGGAAGCTAACTGTGCATTTCTTAATTTGTAGACACAGCCACACATAAGTCCTGAACAGATTGTATCTATAACATTCCCACCCGCAGACACCCTCTGTGGTGACCAAGTTCCCTCACCGTAGGAAGGCAGCCCAAGTCAACCTGTCAAGTCCCACAGAAGCTGCCTGCAGCTCCCCAGCCACTGAGAGCTTACAAGATACATATTTTATTGCTCCTCTGCTCCCTGTGTGTACCTCTAAAATATGCTCGAGATATGCACACTGCTGCAGTAAAACTTTAAGAAGGTACCTGAAGAATGTTTGTGTGCATATACCCCATAACAAGTTGGACCTCAAACCCAACTGCTGTCTCCTTTGGTTCCAACACCCCAAAAATACCAAACATTTTGAAGGACATTTGGCAGATCCTGATCTCTTGATATCAGACAAAGCATTCTGGGACACTTACAGTCATTAATGGAGGAAAACATAATAACAAACCCACTGAGAGCTAGGAAGTACACTAATGAGCACGGTTATTATAAAGAACTCTACAGAAACTATAAACACTTAAAAGAACAGTATTTCATCTGCTGCTCTTCACACTATTCATCATTTTGAACACTATCCCTCACTGAGGCTTTCTGTTGGAAAGATAGGCTGCGGTGACTGTTAGACCTGCAGGCAGAGAACAGCCAGCCTGCTTATTATGATACACAACACCAACTTCAACCACCAGGAAACCTACATCATGATCACCATCACAAAGCCCCCATTGAAACACGAGCCATTTTAACAAGGCTTAAGCAAGCCAAAAGAAACAAGGCAAAAAGCCATTTGCCTTCAGGTAGTCTTACAGCATACTCAAGTGACACATTAACAAATGACCTTATGAGACATCTAACAAATTACTGTGACCCAGCTAATTATTTACAGTTTGAAAAAACAATTATATAATTTTGAGTGATGCGGTTACCACCCATCTACTATCTTTTGCCATGCATGTTTTCAAGGCAATACTATTCAAATCAAGATGAAAGAGAAACCTGAGTATTGCAAAGGTTGCAATAGATGCCTTAATAAAGATCACTGTAGTTGTCCTGCATTTATGGAATGCAGTAACTGGCGAGATGAGCCAGAGTTTCGATAAGAAAAAGTAGGGACTGCCCACTAAGGGACAACACATAAATCATTATTTGCAGTTACTGTGTTGATATGGTGACCATAAAGTGTAACCAACCCTAAACACAGGCGTACTCTTAAGGACACCAGAGTGCCTACACCTGAGATTACAGAACAGGTACGTTAACACTGACACCTAGTGTGAAAAGAGCATCACCTTTGCAGGCCATTTGTCAAAACTAAGAAGCGAAGTCAGGAGCTCATACTTTCCCCTCCCCAAAACAAAGCTACAACACCTGAGCAATGGTAACAAACTTCAAGCACTGTTTAAGAGACTGCTTTTCTCTTCTATTCTCTCAATTTTTGAAAGCATGTTCTCCTGACAAACAGATCCCTACTGTGTGCTACAGGCACTCCAGAAGAAAAAAAAATATCAGGAATTTCAAGTTATTATGTAAATTCACACAGTTTATAAACAACAGTTGAAAAGCAGGCAGTGTGCTTTCCCTGCAACTCATGATTCAGATGTTCATCCTTTTTACTAACCTCAACTCAATCTCTTCTTTCATATACGCAAGAAAGAAAGAAATACCTGATTACTTTTTCAAAGCTTCTCTTTTCCACTCAATAGCTGTGCTCACTTTGGAGTTCCTGTTACAAAACAGACTCCCTCTAAAAGCTGATTAAGTGTATTTTTTTTGTGTGGAAATACCCTAGAAACGCATGAAGGACCTCAAACAAACAAGCAGATCTCACTCATCAAACCTAACAAAGAAAAGCTTGTGCAGATTTCACACAATGTGAAAACGAAACAATTTTCAACAACTCTTCTCCTGAAATTTAAGTAATTTTGATGTTAAACTGTGATAATTTTGCTATGGCAATTCTACATATTATTTGAAAATAATTGTAAGACTACATCATAACAAGACTGAAAGCAATCTGCAAAAACATAATCAAGACTGTGTTAAGCTGTCTCCACTGACAAAAGGTACAAAATCAACTCAGAAATATGAAAGAGCCCCAGAACTGCTCAATTAGCAAGATGAGCTCCACAGAATGCATAGCAGAACTTTCATACTGAAACATAAATGGATCTAGACGATTTGTTGTTTTTGGGGTTTTTTGTCCTCTTGGCTGGAATCAGATGAACTCAAAGTTCTATCACATTGATTTCACACTTGAGTTTTAAACTTCTTGAATAAGCATATGAGAAACTCTGTAACAATATTTAATTAAGCTACAGAGGCAATGACCAAACTTCAGGCCTCACCAGTGTGAAAAGGATGCTGCTGCTGCAGTGACTGAAAGGTGTGGCATCTGACACAAAGACAGGCAGAATGCTTGTGTTAGCTTCTGATGTGGAAAAAAGATCAGACCCAGAGGGTGCCATCTTCAAACTCTGAAAACAAAAATTCTGACATTACTATATTTGTCCTTTTCCACTGCAGAAGTATTGATCCCTTTTGTCATGCAGACCTTAAAATTAGCATGGATCTGTTTATATTCATCCTTCTACTTATGTACTGAACCCATCAATGTCAGACAGCGTGCTGTTACACCAAGGGCACAGCCTGGCAGATCCCACCGCGCCGCAAAATCAGAGTCAAAACAATTATCTACCCTAACAGGTATACGGGAACAGATGGAAAAAGGAAGATTAGTCACATATTGTGTCCGTTCTGTTTCCCTTTCAAACGGACAGCAAAGATTTCAGTTCTGAGCTGTCGGCTCGTGGCCTAAACGATTAGGCAGAACTGTCTGTGACTGCAGTTAACACGATTATCAGCGAACCCGATACTCGCTTCCTGCAGGATACTGAGCAACTTTTTTCCATTGCTCTATTTGTACGGCTCTGTTCAGTTCAGCCTAAAAACTATGTAAAATCACACTGCAGCACAACTGGCACCATCGCGTGCTACAAAGCGCTGTATTTTAGGGAGCAATTAACATCAGTGCTAAAGGGCACTCAAATCAGCAATGTTTTTGCATTGTGCTGAATGCTGTGGCTGCAGGTCGGCGTTCTCCTTTTCCCCTCCTCCTGAGATAGCTGTGCTATGTACTTACTTCATTGTGCTGTGCAATTCACAGAAGTTATCAAATACAATGAATAACATTAAGCAGAGAAGAGAGGCTACAAAAGAATATTCTTATGCTCAAAAACTATCGCTATCTTCATGGCTGCAAAAAGAAAGCATTTTTTAAAAATTGCTCTCTCATATTTTATGCTCAAAGAGCTTCTTCATGACCTGGCAGATTACAAATGCTTGAGGCAGAGACCTGGAATACATTTTTTCATGGGAAAACTGCCTATGTTAATACGCCATTTTAAGTTTGTTTTGGTTGGGAATGAGTTAGTGCAGACTGTTTGTTTGATGGAAAGTTGCTAAGGAAATAAGCTGAAGCAAGAGATTTCCTAAAAATAAAACATTGTATTTTTTCATTACAGAAGCCCTGCACTTTGTACACAGCCAAACCATTCATATATACGCATATAAAATAGAATAAAATAGAATAGATTTAGACATACATCATCTAAGCATCAACCTTCACAATCCTTGCAATGCTTGGAGCATAGGATGGGAAGAAGAAAAACATTTCCATCTCTTTGCTGCCTTGAATCTTCAAGGGAGAGAGTATGAACTGACTCAATGACTTCTGACTTTAATCAACCTCAACTTTCCATGCCTTCGCTGTTAAAATTCAGATATTGCTACAAATCTGAAACTAGGAATTCTGCATGTTGGATTATCCACAGGTAAAGTATGAGCACAAGGCCAGGCAACCTTCAAGATTTTTCTTCTCAGCTTTTGAATCAAAATCAAAATTCACAAATAGCCATTCCATTGGCAAAAAGAACCTGATCCAACCACATATTAATAATTTGTACATCAACAGTATGTAGCAACAGAGGAAAAGTGGGATATAAACTTTCACTCATTTATTAAAAATCAGCTATTTTTAAGTGTAGGTGAAAATAATGTAGAAACCAACTGCATGCTACTTGTTCCCAAATGCACTCTACTTTAGTGACAACTGCCAAAACAACGAACATCCTCATCCTGAAAACTCAATTATTGCTACCCTAAAGTAAAGACTATAAAAGATCACAGCCAAAAATGACATCCAGGTAAAAAAGGCAGCATCAGATTTCCTGGAAAATAACTATTTGCCAATTAAAACCACTGACAAATATGCAGAGAAAAAAAAAAAAAAAATCAAGGCAGGAGCAGTGTTGCTGAACATAACTGGCCCAAAAGCTGCCCATGTGAAACAGCCAGTAACCAACACTGAGCTAAGCTTGCCAGAACTGCACAATCCCTGTTGTAGAACAAGTAGCTTTCCTGGAGTGGCTGCACTTAAGTCTTCTATGTTCTCACTCTGTTCTAAACTACTCTGTTATTTTTCCTGGCTCTATAGATTCACTGGAGACAACACCAAGAAAATAAACCATTACACATCACATTAATCTCTCATGTATTGGGATTAAAAAAGCACTGGCAGAATGAAGGGCTTTCTTTCAAGCTTCATATTTATACAGAGGAAAAAAAAAAAAAAAAATCCTGCAAAAGGACATCCAAAAACATGCACCAGAGATCTCTTTGGAACAGCATGGTTTCACGTGTATGTATAGACCTAAAACATATAAGAAATCCAACATATAAGAAATCCTATTATTATCAAAGAAAAAGCACTTTCAAAGGAACATTCACTTTTCTCTGCTTGATTTTCACATAAAAGCAAACACTTAAATCCCCCCTGACTTTCCTTTCTTCCTCCATAAACTAAGAAAACTGAATCCAGATGTCTAAAAGGCTCGAAAAGAAAAGACAGCAGAAGAGATCAAACCTTCCGACTGTATCAGTGTTCCTGAATGCAATTCAATTCATCAAAACCAGTTTTACACAATGGCCTGCCATTAAATATAAAATTCAGTGCAAATTTTATAGAGTTCTTTTTATTCAGTTGCCTATCAGTTTTAACTAGACTTTAACTACAAGATTCTCATCTTACTAGAAAGAACGTTTCAGTTAATTCCTTCACTCTCCAAACTACACAACATGTAAGTTATATACATTCCCAAGCCTTCATGCACAGAGTAAATGTCCTCTGTGGCATGGGTCAAGCAGGGTATCTTTTGGATGCAAACTTCCAGTATTCCAGTAATCATGAAAGGTTGCTTGCATTCCCAACATCCCCATTCTTTCAAGTATTTTGTTGTGTTGCAAGTGATCTTTTCTTAGTTGGGGATGGAGATGGCCACAGAGTATCATGTCTGACATTACAATTCATTAATTGCTGCAGAACATTATCAAACATTCATGAGATATCTATTATTCTGCTAAGGTCAAAGCCAAATAACACTCAATAAATATCTGTTATACACCTACAAACACCAATGTATGACAAACCAAATGACAAATGTGTAGCCCAAGTTTCAGGAATCCACTTTCCATGGAAACTGCCTATAACACACAAGTCGTTCCCCACCACTTTAAGAAACAATGCTATTGGAAAAGCGTTACCATTAGCTAAAACACTCTTTACTGCACAAAAACTTCAAAACCTACAATTTCAAATAAATAAATACTTTGCTTTTAATATTCAAAGGATAAGTCTGGAAATAATGAAAATGCATTACTATACCAAGTGGCTGGGATTATTTACAGTAACAACAGAGGTACCTATTTTGGTATTCTGTGTATTTTTACATATTATAAAAGCACGCCACAAATAATGCCTCCTGTTTTATTATGGGCCCAAGATATCAGAGGCGGACGCTGGTGGTACAGCAGTAGATGCCAAATCCCCCAGTCAATACTCCTTTATGTTTGGTTGCTGTGTGACAAAAAGCAGCAGACAGGCAGTCTGACATGAAAGTGCACAAGAAATAAAAGTGTGTCACTGAATGCAGAAAAAGCTGCAGCCATTGACATATCAATGCTTGGTAGTGGTGGTGCATTTCAGCAGCGGCAAGAGTAACAGCGGGTCACCTTCCCTGGTAAAGATTTAGGAAAGTGTAGTGTGCAGGCTTTTGTTCACCACTCGTGAAAATGCATAACCAATGGTGGTGGCTATGCTGAAAAATAGTGAAAAAGCAAATTCTCAACTACAAACAATGTTATTGTTTTTGTATCTGTTGTAGTTTCCATGGAAATAAATTTCCAGAGCAACCTGTGCACGTGATTGTGTGTGTGAGTATATATATATATATATAGACATACATGAGCATTCAAGTATAAGTCATTCAGTGGGAAAATGTCATACCAGTAATTGTGAGTACTTGATTGCATGATGAGAAGCAGATTCTACCATAAACATTAATATTTCACAGCTAACTAAGAGAATAACATAAGGTGAATTTTTTCACTTGATATTTTCATGAAAATGATCTCGGCTGTATAATGTAGTACAAGGGCACAAGTATTTGAATGACTGTAAGCAATTAAAATTATTACAGTTATTTTTGTAAATGCTGTACATTTGCAAGAAAACCCATACTCAGAACAGTAATAAAGCCCGTATCAATAGTCCTAGCTCAACTTTTTTATTTGGGGAAGCCAATTCATGGATAGCCTACAGGACTTGGTGAAGGATACCCAGGCAATAGTTTCAATAATCTAAAATCAGCTCCCGATTTCCTTGCACCAGATCAAAAACATCTGGGCACATGATCTAGCCCAAACTCACTATACCAGCTCAAATTCTGTATTTTATTTTCATATTTAGAGAATGTCATACCAACCCCACATGGTTAGGCACGTATCAGCTATTCACAAAGCAACGTGTCACAAGAACACGTGGTCTACCTGCACACCTATGGGACACCCAGGCTAATTTGACTGAGCCCATCCCATACACAGCGTGGGCGAGCCAGCAGAAGACACAGCACGTATTAATGCTCACAGTATTACCACTCTCCAAGTCAGAGGCAGGACCACGGATCCCTGACCTGCGCACTCCCGGGCACATGGTGATAGCCAGCAAGCCACGACGCTTTGGGGTCCAGCTTACAGCTGTGGGCCACTAACACAAGCACTCCACCAGAGCCCTGACCAATCTCCCGTGTCTGCTGCACGGGCACAGCCCCCTCCCCTTCCACACCCCACCGCTCCATTCCAGCCCCTGAGATGGATGTGCCTCCTAGCTACGGGATGTGGGGCCGCCTCCCACCCCACAGCTTCCTTCCGCGTGTCCGCGCACGACGGCGCGGGGGACAGGCAGGCTGGGGAAGGGGCCGAGGCGAGGGGCCATCTTAGTCCCCTCGAGAAGATGGCGCTCTTCACAGCCCCCAGGAGTCGAGGGCGCAGCGAGAAGATGGCGTCCAAAGAAGGGGGAGGCGGCGAGGGGCCGCACGGCCGGGCTGCCGGGTACCTTTCAGAGCCTGGTGCATCCCCCCGATGCCGCTGTACAGCTCCAGCACTCGCAGAGCCGCCATGCCTCGGCGCACTGCACGGCCCTCCCGACCGCCTCCCCGAGTGCCGCCCGTCCGTTCCGCCGTTCTTTCGTTCCCCCCGCCCGCCCTCTTCCTTCCCGATCGCCGGCGGCTCAGCGCCAGCCCCAGAGGAGAGCTTCGCTGTGGCACAGCTACTTGCTCATTAACCCTGCACAGGGGTTAGGCCCTGCGGACGAAGGCACCCTTTGGAACAGCCTGTCCCCTCACCCGTGCGGGTCTTCAGTGCCGGGGGGGGGGGCCTCATCGGCACGTCCCAAACCGCACGGGGTGAGCACGGGAAGAGAGGGGATAAGGGGTCCGGGAAAGGGCCGTGCTCACCAGCCTGGGATGGTGCCAGCCTGCTGTCCTGCTGGGCAGCTGATGCTGATGGTGCGTGGCAGTTCTGCGGGCCTCAGCAATTCTCCTTTTTATCTGCAGGAGTGAAGTTGCGTGCGGGGATGGTTTGAAAAGCGGTTTCAAAGCTGGTGAAATAGGAAGGAAGGAAATAACATGAAACTGTTCTAATTTGTCTTAAGGTTGTGAAATTGCTTTCCCTAGATTAAAGAAACGATTCAAAAGCATTGTTGCCCCTGAAAAGCAGCCAGCTTGTAGCAATATGTGCCAGACAGACGCATTTACACGTATACATAAAACCAAAGAGTAAATATCCTGCAGGGTAAAATGTGGATTACCTTCCTCCCACAAGCAAAAATACTTGCCTAGGCCCCAGTTCATGGATTTAGAGTCTAAAGTGAGAATGAAACCTGAAATAAATAACTTAAAAACCTGGACATGTTTCTTGAGTTACTTCTTAAGTTGATCACATTTTTTTTGGCACCTCCTAGAAACCTGTCAAAAATAAGGTGTATTTCTGGACTACTAAGCAGAAACATGATTCAAAGAATATTAGTTTTTGCCAGCTTCTTTTGAAAAAGTTCTGTCATTCCCTGTGAATCTTCACCATCACAGTCAGGGGCTGTTGCTTTACCTGTCAGCCAAGGAAGTAATGACTAAGAAACCCAAGGCCTACTTTGATTATGTCAGGAGGGAAGCACAGCAGCTGAGATACCAAAGAGGAGAGCAGTATGCATTGCAGGAAGTGGTGAGACAGGTAGTTTGCACAAACAGCAGATGGAGAACTGAGAAAGAGAGCTGAATCACACAGCATAACAAAGCAGGGAATGTGCTGCCTAGAGAAAGTAGTAATCGGACAAAGATGGTGAGGAAAATTCTGCAGGTTGGGATTCAGGGTAAAAGTGGCTGTGATGAACAAGGTTGGTGTCTGCTAAAAAGATAAGCTTCAGTAGGAGCCCTTGAAAATATAGATAGGAGGTGAAGGTAAAGAGAAACACAGCTTTTAGACTACTGAAATCAATGAAGTTGATGAGTGGTTTTTATCTCCTTGTATCACTAATGCAGTGATTTATATACAATCTATATACACCACAGCAAAGCTAAATATCATAGTGAGCTATAGGCAGTCAGGAGCAGTTCATCTATTTAGAGCTGCCCAATTCCCATAGCAATTAAAGCTACAGGACAAGCATTTCCTTGTATCAGAAGGAGAGATAGAGTCGAGCTCTGTTTTTTCCTTCCCTTTCCCCAACTCCACAGTATTCTTGCAATTCGCATACAGTAAAGATGGAGACTGGTGAAGAAAGTTGATACCTCTGCCATATTCATGTCAGTGGAAAATTCTTTCCTCAGGGGAAATTCTCTGCCTACCTCCTCCACCAGGCACCCTGTGTGTAGCAAACCAGAGAGTCTGTTCAGCACACCTCCACTCTGGCAACAAAAAAATTCATAGACTAGGCTAAGATCTTACTGGCTTAATCTTGCAAAGAATGGAAAACACCAACATTTCTCTTGTGGTCATTTTTAAACAACTTCCAGTAACCAGTTTTAGAATGCTCTGCCCTGGCTTAATATAATAAATAATTCTCCTTATTAATTGATAGCTATGAAAAAGACAACAATCAAAACAATCTGGAAACAATTACTTTTAGTATTCTTCACTTTATACATATAAAGCCAGCATAATAATAATCTTCTGACCAGACATTGCATAATAGAAATTAAGGTATGCTGCCAATTCCAGAGATTAGAGCAACGGCTGAGAAATACCAACATCAGCAGTCACTCATACCTCCCTTCTCTCAAAAAAGGAGTCCACAGAGCAAGTGTGCCCTGTGGAAATGATCATTGTTAAGAAAACTCGGTAACACATGTTGCCACCACTACAGAGCAGGCTAGGTTGTTGCTCACTCAATCTTGTGGCCTTGCAACAGCCACATCACTGCAGAATTTCCCAACTGCATCTGTCTGACTAACAAAATTTGGGTGCTGTGACAGTTCCTTCTGTACTTTGTACACATAGGATGGATAGGATCCCCATAAATCCCAGCCAAAATTTAATTGACTAAAAGAAGAGATTAATAACAGTCAAGTCCAATGTCCACCTCTGGGCCTACTCTACTCTCAGTAAAGATTCTTTAAATTCTTTAAGACTTCAAAGGAAGAAGTTTGTCCTGTGACCCTTCTGATTTTGACTTTCTGATAAAAGGATTTCAGATTCTGCAGCTGTGTCTTAGCCTTCTTTAGCACATACATAGGGTCTATTTCATATATCAGTTATACCTTAACAACATAGCTAGCTTTGAATAAAAACCAATAGGGTTTTGGAAAAAAATACGTTTATTTTAAATGAGCACATCTGTAGAACTATGTTAATACAATGATCAAGCATTTATTTTTTTTTTTTTTAACTTGAACGTATATTTTACTGTTAAAAACATTAAGTAAACTGATCATTCAAATTCCTTTAAAGCCAGTGACATCAGCATGTGATATCAGCATTTTCATTGAGACAGCTTTTGAAAGCTCCTGCCTCCTGGCAGCATCTACTCAGATTAGAAGCTTGCCCACATCTCTGATGGTTGTTATGATACAGGTAATCACGTCAGATCTGAAACTGTTGTCATGGTAACTAGTAAACTCATCAGTGAAACAGATGCACGTGGTAAGAGGAACACGCAAGCAAAACCACTGCACTATTTTCTCTTCTTGCAATGCCTTAGAATTGCTAAAAGTGTTACAGTTACCAATGGTGCCAAACAGCATCATGAAAACATTAAAACAAACAAAAAAAAACATTACCTTGAGATTCCGTATTTCACTGCACTGGCAACTGGAACATGAAAAATTAAGAACTATGGCATCTCAGACCATGGTTGGAGTCAGCTCCTGCAGCCCTTCCCTGCCCTCCCACCTGCATGGAGCAGGAACTAACAGGCCAGCAAGGTGTCTGTCCACACCAGCCTGTGGAACGAAGCCTGACACTCCACAGTGCTCCTCACAGGGTTCTACTGATGCTAAAATGCTGGAGCTGTATAAGTTACTTAGTTTCCTATGGATGTGAGGCATGGTGGAAACTAGTGGATACATACTACAAAGTGTTGGTGAGCATTTCCTCTACAGGCAAAAATGAAGAAAACAAGGGAAAAAAAAAAAATCATTCTGCTGACACATCTGATGTTTAAAACTGCAAATACAGTCATCATCCAAAGCTGTAGTTGAAGCAAATATTGTTGGTGGCTGAACAAACAAGGCTTCTCGTGTCCCAGTGTCTCATATAACCTACTAAATACTTAAATGAGGGTCAGGAAAAGTATACAGGCATCTCAGCTGTCTATAGGAGAGGCTCATGTTCTGGGTCAGAAATCACTGTGGCTAGGAAGGAATGCAAGGCATGACATACCCTTGCAATGCAATCACTGAATTGAAAAAAATTCATGGAGAATGTCTAGCATAAATTACTGTTTCCATAACCATTGGCCCAATATATTACTCATACTGGAAACCTTTTGCAGTTAATTGAAATTGAGCTGTCTGGATGTAATGTTTCAGGAGGGACTTTATCAGACTTGGTTTGTGATGAAGTGACACTCAGTAAAGTTAGTTTCAGATACCAACACAGCAGAACCCTGTGCCAATACGGCAGTGAAGCCCACGGTTTGCATTTGTAATCCCACACATCTGCAAGACTAGAAGTGAAACCCACATTGAATTACATTTGTTAGACTCTCTCAGCCCACTTCTGAAAACTCCATAGACAGGGGAAATTTATGTAACTGAAATTATTTAGAAGAGTCAAACAAATATTAACATATTTTCAAATAGGTTATTGTCTGCACTTCAAGATTTTATTTTCAGGCTTTGGAGATACAACCGACTCTATAAAGAATAGGAAGAAGTCATTGCTTCTCCAAAGAATTCTTTGCTTTTCTGGTGAAAAAAATATAAATAAATCCAGCCTGTTTGTTATGGTTGGCCTGCAGTGGTAACCTTGGCTGGATGAGACGCATTATGTCAACATGGCATTGTTGACTTTCTTGTTGTACTTGCACATTCCAGCACTCTACCAAAAGAGAAGGATAAAAAAAAGGCCAGTAGGCAATATAGACATGTACAATGAAAAATCTTCGCTGGACTGAACAAAACAGACTCTGAGCTCTACTAGGCCCACAGGGCCACAGAAGCTGGAGACAGCAGGCATGACACCAGGCAAAGGTGAGTGGGAAATCAGTTCAGCTACCCCCTCAGGATGCCTGTGGGGCAGGAGAAGATGGCAGCAGCATGCTCTCTCAGAGGAAAACTGATGAGGAAGAAAAATAGATGAGCGAAGATGTGCCTCTTACCTTTTTGCTTACAACAGGAGTTTTAATCTCCAGCATCCCAACACGGTGTGCACAGTATATAGCATACAGGGTGACAACCTGAGAAAGACTTGTAGCTCTATGTTGATTATGCCTTTGGTCTAAAACTCACCTGCTATCACTAGAGCTTTGTATACCACAGCCTTGCCTTTTTTAAAAAAAAAAAAAAAAAAAAAATTCTCCCCTGCCCCAACTTCATTTTTTCATTCATCCCCATGTAAGGAGATCTGTGACTAACTGGCAGAGGCACAGGAAATGATATGTCTTATGCTGGTAACCATGGCAGTTGGACTTCAGTAGTAGGGTTTTTCCTCTAGAGAGGAAGAAAATCTTTCACGCAGCAGCACAGAGCTGTAACTGTGGACTTATAAAGTTACCTTGAAACAACAAAAGTGTCACTGAGGGCTGACTCCAGAACCTGCTCAAGAAGCTGAGCACTTGGTACCTCAGCAGTGCTGAGGTGTCTTCCACACTTGTTACTTTACTGGCACTTTGCAAGTGAGTTACTCCAAAGCTATTTAAAGGTAATTACAGAACTGATTGCAGTGTAAATATTCTCTCACTACATCTGTGTCCACAAATGTCTGTCAAGCATACCAATAGCTGGGACACAGTTCTGTTCTAACAGAAAGCCTCTTAGAAAACAGCCCATGGAAAAAGAACACGTTTGAAGAAATTGTGTGATTCTATAAAGGTTAACTGAAATGAAGGATAAACTGAAATGTTATTCCAGTTGAATTTTAGAAGAGTCACTTACGGCTGCTGGGTTTTTTGTATCTCTTTTTCCAGTGCCTCAACTAAGAAGAAAAAGCTTTGGGTTTTCCTAAAGTTTGGGGGAGGGGGGGGGGGGGGGGGGAATAAAACAAAACACCACAAACCTTTCTTTAGATGAAGTGTTATGAGATTAAAATGTTAATTTTGCTGAGATAGTCTGGAGAGAAGTAAGCCTAACCTACATGGGTCAAGTCTGAATTAGTTTTTTGACAAAGAGAAATCTTGTTGAACAAAAACATATCCAGTATGGACTAGAAATTAATTTTCAGCTATAGGGAGCTGGGCTGATTTAAGACTCCAGCAAACATGTTTCACATAATTCATAAGAGAAATACAATGGGATATTGTTGGAATTGTTTGTCAGGGACCCTGAACAGCAGCTGAAGTTCTTGAGGATGACTTCATTGAACTAATAGTGCCAAGTCACATATAGCACTCATTTCCTATGGTTAGTACAAAGTTGTTCGGAAGTTAGAAAAGTAATGAATTTAAGCCTCAAGACAGTAATCTAAACTGCGCATAAACCCCATCAGTACCAGTCCAAGCATCATGTATATTGCAGTACAAGAGCATTACTGAGAGAATTCATTTTAAGGATAAATCACTTGACACTATAGAATTTGATTATTTTTTTGAATACAGCTGTATTACCATATTCTGAGTAATCCATTCCTCAGTCTTTGGAAGAGCCTGTCATCTTACCTATATGTTGTTTCATTGTCTAGAAGACTTCTTCACTGTGCAGAGTTACCTTGTCATGATGTGCTTTGGACTTCAGTTGTAGGCTTAGTAACCTCCACAGGGTTACAGAAAGTGTCTATTCCATGTCAAATGAGCAGCCACAAACATTTGTAAAATTTAAGAGTCAACATGAAACATTTACAAAGCAAAATAATTGTTGTTAGGCCATCCTACACAGGCATATTAACTCTATAATAATAACCATATACATGAGACAAATTATCCAAAAATCCCATAGACATTGAGTCTGCATTTGTAATGGGAAACAGGACACCTTTACAACCCCCTCAAATGGGCTTCTTTTTAAGATATTTTATCTTTTCCTTTTCCAGCTATATGTGCCTTCTTTACACATTTAGTAAGTTTTCTACTCCAGCCCTATAGCCCACAATTTATTTTTTTTTTTCATACCATTAACTTAAATTCCTATCCCCAGCCAGCAGAGCATGCTGTTTGAATATTAGACTTAGAATTGGCATGCAAAAGCAACTCTTAGAAACTTGGTCTCCTCTGTTTTGGGGTGTGTGAGCCACGTCCTCTTCCCTTTGGTAAAAGCTAACTAATCCCAGGGTGGCTAACACAATGCACAGTCAGTTTATGAGACACACTGGAACCAAGGATTTGGCACAAGAACTCCGACTGAGGAATCCAGTAAAAACTTGGCCCTCAGCTAGTAATGTTCTGCTTGTTCTGGGCATCTCAAAGGAAGACCTGAACAATTGCTGCATGTAATTAATAATTCCATTGCTGTGTCCTGCCCCTTCCTCAGAAAAAAAAAATCATCATTTCCTAGTATATCATTGCAAGAAAACGTTATACTATTTATGCCTTTTGTAAGTGATGGACCTGGGAGAAAGAGAAGAACAAAATCACTGCCAAGCTTTTTGTTTGTTTGTTTTGGATAGGAGTCCTTTCAGCAGTTTCTTTTGAAAAAGCTTGGCCAAAAAGTAGCAAATCTGTAAGTAGCAGGGTTTGTTAATGACATGCTAGAATCACTTCTTTCAGCCTTTTCCAAACAGAGAGGATAGATGAATGGATGGATGATTCATCTTTGAAAAGGTTTGCAACCTCAAGATTTAAGACAGACAAGTCTGTAGATATCACTTTCCATCCCAATGTGACACAGGAATGTTCATTCATGCTGTTGAATTCTACCTGTCCCAACAGCTGACAAGGATAACAACTGTGCACCATACTTGATAGTAATGTGAAGACTGTAAAGTCAGCAATACAGCAAAGGACAGAAAGAAACTCCACACATTGCACAGTGTTATTTTGCACAAATATTTTACTAAAGTTAGACAAAATTAAAAAGGCTTTGTGAAGTGCCTATGGTGACCCTTCAGTAATTTCTTATAAAAAGAATTACCTATATACTCATTAAGATGTACTTTGAAATCATTTGTATTGTTATGGATAGAAAATAAGGCATTCTAGAAAAGTTGCCTTCATATAAAGATTCACCATAGCCCTTTATTCCATTTGTAGAGCCCAATCATAATTAAAGACACATGAATATAATGTCACAGTGTGATGAAAAACACAGAAACAATAGCAGAGTAGCAAAGCCCTGGGCTGTAGCAAGCGAGGATTTACTCAAACACAAGAATCACAGAAACAAAGAAAAAAAATAAAAAAAAAAAAATAAAAAAAATCCACTTACCCTTGTAAGGCCTCAGGTAAGCAGGGACCACCAGCAAGATACTGCTGCCTCCACTGCCAACCCTTAAATGATGTCTAGGAAGGGGTGGAGCCAGGATCCAGATGCATGCACCTGAACTCCCTTCCCACCAGGTGCTCAGTCACTGTTTCAAGCCGTGACTTAGCATTTCTGCTGCAATGAACACATTCCAATATAGGTATAGGTATAGGGGTGTGATGTGAACAGTGCAGAAGGAATTTCTCCATGTTCCTTCCTCAACTAATTTGTGATGAGCTAGGCAAGCTGTGCACTGTAGAAGAACAATTGGCAGATGCTAGCTCTATCAAACCAAAGAATTTGAGGCCACAGGACCTGTTAATAAGCATTGGGTGGCAGGGACTGACAGAGTGGTCTTTCAGCTGCTCCTGTCAGCAATCTGTAGCTCCTCTAGTTTTGTATCAGTCTCAAGAATGAGTCAGGAAGAAGGAGTAACAATAACTATTCTCTGTCTTTCCTGTATTTTCTCCCAGATGTCTTAATGTTTCTTCAAGCTCTAGAAACATTAAGTGAAATTTGTTTTCTTGTCAAGCCTTTCTTTTCTGTGCTCTTGTAATTATTATATGAGTATTCAACCACGTCCTACATCTTCCCTTGTCCCCCGCTTTCTGCATCTTGCTATATGGTAATTTACCCACAGGGCAGATTTCATTACCATATTCCTTATTTTTCCACTCAGCAATATGATTTGGGAATTGACATCCTTCTGCTACTGAACTTGGTGCCTTTTCCTCCCTCACAGAAATAGGAAAATATGGGCCCTGATTATACTGTGTTCATTTATTCTGACATCTTCCTCAGTCTATGATTTCTGTTGCCCTTTCCATTGCCATAATTTCTCATTGTGTGCTCTGTTTTCTTCCATCTACATGGCCATCCAAACACCTACTTTCTTATTCTTACTGCAATTAATCTCTTCTAAAAATCCAGTTTCTCTGAGAAAAATGGCCTTCCAAGTCTATAAAAATTAATTGGATCAAAATATTAGTATAACTGCTCTCATTTACACTTAAAATCCTCATGCACCTCTCTTCTTCCTTTGTTCTCTGAGAATTTTGCCTAATTTGACTTTGGTGTAAGCTTCATAAACAAGGAAAACAAGTAGCTGAAATTTCAAATTACATTTTTTTGAGACCCAAATTAAGACTAAAACACTTGGCATATTCTGGAAGTTAGTTCTGCTTAGTATTTAAAGTTGAGCATTGAGCCTCAGAGTATGCCATGCCTTTTGTTAGTTGGAAAATCTTGGCCTTTATGTCCCAGCCATTGCTAAAGATACTGCTGAGAGTCATCAGTTAGTGCTATTACCATTACATGCAGTGTGTCAGAGCATTCCAGTTGGTTTCTTCTCTTTTAGGGATGGATTACATTAATTGTTATACTATGAAAGAACTGAAAAACTTATAATTCTCTGCTCTGTGCTGCTAGAATTGTGCATGCTGCTTGAGACAACCCCAGGACTTGGGCAGAGGTGTACTGGCTTTGGAAATGACTGTCTGATTCAGTAAAAGAGAGACAAAAAGAGACAGAAAATACCCTGCTCTGCCTACCAGAAACCGTAACGGAGGGGAACTTTCTGTGCAACAGTAATAATAGCATGCAACTCGGTGGCACAAGTCATAATTAGAACACTTCCCCAGTGATGAAAGACCCGCCAGTTTCATATCATTCATCTGACATTAAAATACTGTACTGCAGAAAGACGTGGTTAGTTTTGAGTCTGTAACGTAGTCATTCCCTCGAAAAAATCAGTGGATACTCATAGACATTTGCTGTGTTTTGTAACACTGACAACTACCACAGGCAATACAATTTTAAAAATAACTTTCATAAAAGAACTCTCAATTTACTTCCTGAGATCTTAAATTGTCAAAGTTATTCAGAAAAGGAGGCTTAAGGGCCTGAACACTTAGTTGTTAGTACATTTTCGGGTTCACAAACCCACATCAGCTTCTCTCAAGGTTTTGGGGGTTCAGAAAAAGCAGCTTTTCTCTGGGCTCAGAGGACGTGTTTTCAGCACAATATACAGAGTGCTGGAACAGGCTGCAGGAAGCATCGTCCTTCCCCGGGGCCCCGCTACACCCAGCTCCCAGCCAGAGGGAAGGACTGCCCCAGCAGAACAGTTACACCACAACTTACAACCATTTATTTGGAAATAGGAACCTAGGGCCTTTCTGATTTCAAAACCAGAGAAGCCTGAGTCTTGTCAAACCACAGCTGAAGGAAGAAGTGGTCTTTTCACTAGAAGTTACAGCGTACAGTCAAGCAGCAGTCCCAGCACTCGTGTGTCTGAGTATTATGGAGATTCCCTATTCAGCTGCTGCAGGACATTAACCCTCTTTCATAGTTTCCTGTTGAAGAAGTCCCCCTTGCACAGAGCGCGTTCAATATTCATGGACCTGGGGGAAGTGTGAAGGAAAGCCTCTGTGGGCCGATGCCTTCCAGTCCTTGCTCCCGAAAGGACTCTGGGCTGCTTTATGGAACTGACAACAAAGGGAACTGCATTTGCATTGCAGGATATTTTGGCTGGATGTCTTAGGCTTACGGGTTATTATATACTTTCTGGGGGGAAAAAAAAATCATTTCACACTTTAAAGCAGAACCCTCACTAAAAGTATACAAGTTTGATCGATGAAATGATTCAAATCAGTTTAGTCAAGGCCTGGGATAATTGGAAAGCACATTCCAAAACATGCTCGATGGACTAAATTCCTTTAATTTCTTGCTGCCTAAATCAAATTAAAAATTAAAAAAAACTGCAAATGCTATTATTTTCAGTGATGTTATCAGAAATGCATGTTTTCCAGAGAAAATTACAAGGATTTTTTCATTCTTATTGTAATCGATTTTCAGAATATAGCAGTACATCTGCATCCTCTTGGCTGCAGCAAGACTCCCCTCTGTCCTCCCTCCTCAGCTATCTGTGATTCCTGCAGCTATGGTGAGATGCAGTCTTTCCTGACAAGTACTGTGGAGATCCTTCAATGAGGACAGTCCTTGTTCCCCTTTGGGCTTGGGATGCAAATATGGACTACATTTATTGCAGCTGTACGAGAAACTTCCTCCATTTCTGCACCTGTGCAAGTGCCCACTAGCAAAAGGTACTGTAGGGATTATTGTAGTCCTTATAACTGAATATCTTTGCATTTTTAGGGAAATTTCACAGAGAGAAACAGCAATGAGGCAGGTGGCCAAGAGCACATATGGCAGCACTGACAAAAACATATGAAAATTATATCCAAAACAAGAGGTCCAGTTTTGTTTTGTTTTGTTGTTGGTTTTTTTTTTTGGTTTTTTTTTGCCAAAGCAAACACATCCCTGAATTTCAGGGGCAGAGCATTGTCAGAGTGAAGGATGGCAGTTGTGTGTGCGTGCCATAAAGGTTTTGTAGGGCATAAACAAGCTGTGGGCCATTAAGAAAAGCAAATGGAGCCAAGTGTACCTTTAGCAGCCCAGCAATCTGTGACAGCTCTGTGCTGAGCGCAGCTCTTCCCTTGGGGAGCCACTTGCTGCCTGCTGCTGTGCTTTTTGCCTGTGTTCCTTTACTTCTCATTGCCATCAGAACCAAACTACAGCACAGAAAGGAACACAGTCACTGACCAAACAACCAAAAATCTCCCGCTACAACCTTAATAAAATATATGGGCTCCGATTCTTCCCATAAGATACAACACCTGGAGGACAATAGCCAACCCTACTGTGAGCATCTTATGGACATCACCTCACTCCCCGCCCGCTGCTCGTGTTCAGGTTTATGAGAACTCTCAGAGCAGACATTGCTTCTGCAGGACTTCAAGTTAGAAAAACTAAGTGGTAGCATTACATCTCACAAGTGCTAAAGGATACATTGCAGATATCTTTGCATCGTGTCAGTCACTTTTAGAGCAAGGTGGAAAATGGTGTCACCAATCAGATGTGTCAGAGTGGGATTCTCCCTGGAAGAATACGCCTTGGGCTTTGGGCAGCCCAGCTTTACATTCCCTAAGGGATGGAAGTCTCACCACCTCCCTTCCACCACTTCTGCATTCGCGCTGAAAATGGTCTCGGGGAGTTCTTCTTACTGCTGCTCAAGTTTTTCCCTGTCCATTGTTACGCCATTGCGATTGGTCCTTCTGTCTCACTGGCAGCCCCACACCGATAGCGCAGTTGCAGTAGAAGAACGGGGATTTCTGTCCTGACTTTGAGGCTCTGGGGATCACTTCTAACGACCTATTTGTAAGAGCTCTTTCCTGAGACAGTGACCTTGTGCTTACAGAAACTAAAAACAAACAGACCCTTGGTTATAACCGCTCCTGCCGCTCCCTCAGCGACCAGGTACACTGTGCCCGAGGGCAGAGCGGTGCCCCTGCTGCAGCCGTGGCAGTACCGCAGCGCCCGTCCACAATGAGCGCAGCTCCGTCGGCACCGACGAGGCTGGGCGGGTCCCGGGCGCTGCGAGGAGAGCGCTGAGCCCCGAGCACCGGACGGGAGACCAGATGGAAGAGGTGCCGTATGAAGCAACTAACCCCAAACCCACCGACAGTTCATGTTTCTGTCTGCCCGCTTTGGACGTTCGGTAGCCCTTCGTGAATAGCGAGCATCACTCCCCCGATCTCGGTGCCTTTCAGCAAGCTAAGAAGGAAGGGACGGGGCTCGCACAAAGTTGCACAGACGCATTTTCAAGCACTCAGCCCGTGCTAGGAGCGCTGGCGGAGCACCGCAGCCCGTCCCGCCCTCGGAATCACTGCGCTGTCGGAGGGGCGTAGGGCCCCAAGGAACCTCGGCAGCCGCCCCGGGTCCCGCTGCCTTTGTCCCCGCGCCACCGCAGCGGGCCCTCCTCCCCCCCGCTCCTCCCCGGGCCCGACGCGGCCATTGGCGACGGACGGGGCCGGGGCGGGGCGGCGCGGGGCGGCGGCGCCCCATAAGAGGGGCCCCGAGTTGGGGACGCCGCCCTTCTTCGCCCGCCGCGCTTCGAGCCCCGCTCCGGTCCCGGATTACAAAGCCGCTCCGTTCCTCGCCGCCATGAGCTTCACCAGCAGCAAGAACTCCTCGTACCGCCGCATGTTCGGCGGGGGCAGCCGGCCCAGCAGCGGCACCCGCTACATCACGTCCACCACCCGCTATTCGCTGGGCAGCGCCCTGCGGCCCAGCAGCGCCCGCTATGTGTCCGCCTCGCCCGGCGGCGTGTACGCCACCAAGGCGACGTCGGTGCGGCTGCGGAGCAGCATGCCGCCCATGCGGATGCACGACGCCGTGGACTTCACCCTGGCGGACGCCATCAACACGGAGTTCAAGGCGAACCGCACCAACGAGAAGGTAGAGCTGCAGGAGCTCAACGACCGCTTCGCCAACTACATCGACAAGGTGCGCTTCCTGGAGCAGCAGAACAAGATCCTGCTGGCCGAGCTGGAGCAGCTCAAGGGCAAGGGCACGTCCCGCCTGGGCGACCTGTACGAGGAGGAGATGCGGGAGCTGCGGCGGCAGGTGGACCAGCTGACCAACGACAAGGCCCGCGTCGAGGTGGAGCGCGACAACCTGGCCGACGACATCATGCGCCTGCGGGAGAAGTGAGTGTGGGGCCGGCGCGGGATTGGGGCCGGGCGCGGGGCGGGCACCCACCCCTCCTTCACCTCACCCGTGTGTCGCTGCTTGCAGGTTGCAGGAGGAGATGCTGCAGCGGGAGGAGGCCGAGAGCACCCTGCAGTCCTTCCGACAGGTGGGCGGGGCCGCCGCGGAGCGGTGGGGGCGGAGGGTCGGGGCTGGGGCTGGGGCTGGGGGCTGGCTCTGCCCGCACAAAGGCTGCTCGGCTCAACCCCTTGTTCTCCCCGTTGTTTTCTTTGGGGGGGTGCCGCCGTCCGGGGGGAGGGTGAGGCTATTGTCCCGCTTTATCCCGGTCTGGCCGGCTCCACAAAAGCGCTCCGACGTGGAATCGCTTTCTGATCCAATAGCTGTGAAAAGGCGCAGCCATCTGCGCGTAGGGCTGAAGGGTATTAATGGTTTCTATGGGATTCACCGAGGAATGCAGATCCAGGCATTATGGCCGGTATGGTGGCAGCAGATTGAAATAATGGATCCCTTTGTGTTGGAGGGGAGGGTGCCGTGGGCTGCATTCCTACCAAATGTGTAATGGTGGGGGCATATTCCTAGGGGAGACTGTGTGGGAAATACTGAACTCCTTCTGGATGAACCACGTCGGTCTGCACTCTCCAAAAAAACTGTCCCAGATACTAAGTATTTCCTATCAGCAGTGTTTGCTGATCAGAAGCAGACAATGGGTTCCTTGGGATGAGCTCATAGCAGCTGTTTGTATCCCCTTCATGTGCATTAAGAATGTACAGTTTAAGCTCATATAAGCAAAGATGTTAACATAAGAAACAATGCACTGGAGTTCAGTCTGTAGGAAGTTGCAGTGTCACACAGATGAACCAAAGCCGATGTGACAGCCAGAACCAACTGTGAAGCCTGCGGAAAGTTCTGAGCTGAAGTTTTGATTTGTGCAAAAACAGCTCTTGGCTTGCATTGAGGGCTGTTTGGAGTAGCAGATGTTCAGGAATGTGCCTTCTCAAAACAAGATAACTTCCTGAAACCTGCTGGTGTGAAACAACACTGCTATCACTCCTCTGGGCGGGAAGCAGCTGCCCTCCATCCCCGGACAGCTGGGCGCAGGCTGACCATCCCAGAGTTCTCCATAGGCAGTAATAGGTGTCACCACACAGGAAGTCATCGTTTGATTTTTAACATTTCCCTAATGGTCTTAGGAAGACAGTGTGAGAGCAGACACCAGGCAGGGTCTGGGAATGAGGTGTCCACTGACGTTCTGGGGGCTGAAGCTTGAGACTGCAGCTCCAGGTACTGCCTTTAATCTAGGCTGCTGTGTTACTAGGGTTGAGCCAATCCCAGAAGTCGCCAAGTCAGTGCAGAGGCATTTCCCTTTTTGTTTTAAATTACTAGAGTTCAAGCACAAGCTCCTTTGACCTAAAGCTAGTTTAATCATGCATGCTGTTCTGGTGCACTTCAAGGCATGTCTTCCTTTCCCTCCAGCCGATGAAGTTTTTGTGAAGGCTGTGGGCTATTATGTGAGCTGTGCTGTGCGTGCCTCACATTCATTGTCTGCTTCCCTGCCCTGTCGCTCAGCCTCCAGCTGCTCTGCCCATGCACTGTGCCCACATAACCTCTCAGTTTACAGGCAAAAACTGCAGATCATTGTGTAAATTGACTTGTGACATAAATGGTACATGCTGCTGAGTTTGGTTTGAACAAGAGTATACCCAAATTTTCCCTACCACAAAAGAGTCGTTCTAACATGAAGATTTTGAAGAGAAAGTATGCTTGAGAGTTGCTGAGTTTTTTTCCTCTAAACAAGAGATGCCAAGTGACTTTCCTCATATGCTGTGGGGTGTCCTACATCAAATAAGCTTAGGGATTTGGTGACTAGTTTGTGCAACAAAAGAGGCATCATAATTAGTGAGAAAGTTATGTACTGCAGCTTTGTCAGATGCTCTGACAGCAGGGAACAGATCTGAGCCCACGACAAAGTGAACAGGTCAGCTTCTGGCTAACAAGAGATTTCCTGAAATAAATGAGGATGTTCAGCCATTAAAGAATCTCTTCAGATAAAGATCAATACATAGTCCAATTATTCATATGTGTGACTTAAACCTTGTTTACTCAGGATATTAATAGCTTTTTCATTTACATGGCTCTAGAGAGTGCAGAATAAGTGCACTTAGCAAAAAATACAGTAAAATACACATTATGTACTCAACGAGCCTCCAGTTTTTTGGGAGGAGAACAAATGCGTTAAGGAATTTTTTTTTCCTCTGAACTGAAGAACAGAGCCAAGATGAACTGTGGTGTGCAATTGGAGTTGATAGGAAACTTTCATAATACATCGAAGGGACATTCTGCTGGATAAAGAACAGTGGAGAATTCTTCTGGTGCAAAAAACTTAATCCCTGAATAGGAGTAATCCAAAGGATGGCTTCCTGGTAATCTAAGGAAAACTTTTCCTGTTTCAAAGGTGCTGTAATAGTGAGCACTGCTGATTAGGAACGTTTATGTTCTGGACAAAATATAGAAAGGCTGTAATGCAAATAGTGAAAACATGATGCTTATGTTAATACGGTAAGAATGTAACCACGCAGCCAATGTGAAAGGATCAGTCTTCCCCTTTATAAAGTGCTTTACTTGCATCTTTAAAATCTAAGCAGTTACTGATCGATGGTTAATTTTCAGTTATTTTTTGAACAAATTAACACCACTTTCATGCA